GCTTCCATTCCTACAATTAACGCGACAGTGACGCTCTTTTCTTCAATGCAGCAAAGGAGATATGTCGAACCTCGGAAAATAAAATAGTTACTGACACGATTGTAGAACTGTTCTTGGCACTTTTCTATCACACCACCGTCCAGCAATTGTAGATTGAGTTGCTGCGCGAAGAATTCTTCCAGTTCCGTCCGTAGGGTTTCATTATTGAAAATAAGTTTCGTAGAATGCGGAAGGAAACCGTTTCACATTTTGTATTAATGATATTCGTATGAGTCTACTCAATAGTTGTCCAATTGTATTGACATATGCAGTATTGTGATGGTATCGGGAGCGTTCGACAGTTCCTTGGACCTCTCCACTGTCTGAAAAGCGACGATCCTTTGCTCAGAGGTTCTATGTTGCGGAAAGATGTGTTTGTGAAGCCGGAAGCCGGTTGTAACTGCAAAAAGTAGTTGTATTTGGTGAAGAATGGCGAGGAACGCTTTATCCACTGTCCGTGTTGTGGCAAAAGTGGAATGGGTAAGAGATCGCCACCAACTTATCAATCCACTTTGGATACACATTCCGCGATCATGAACAGCAAGCTCCAAAAAAAACAGGAAAAATTTCCGAGATATGCGTGCAAATGATGAGCCGTTGTTGGAGGTTCACTGGGAGGATGTCCTCTCTCTCATAAGCAGGCCAGGGTGGACGAAATGAATTTTGATTCAAATTAAATTCAATCAAGGACCAATCGCGGCAATGCCGAGTTTCTGAAGTGACTGAATGAGCAAGTTGCGGCCATGGGGAAATTTGTTCGAGATTTTCGAGATAGGTTCATTCCAACTGCAAAATACTGCAGAGGCTAAACTTTCCCCTTGCACGGTGAACAGGATTATCTGAGTTGTGCCCAGTTCGCTACGCGGTGTACTGCCGCGTAGCGAACTGGGTACAACTCAGGTAAGGCTGTGTTCTCAGGATTTGAGAAAAGAAACACGTTGCGAAGGAATTCCGCAACTTCTAGAAGAAGATAATGCACCTCTAGCGAAAAACAGTAACGGGCGGTGGAGTGTGGCTGTGCTATTAGGTCATCCCATTCAAAAGTGCCGTGACATATAGAGGAATGGCAGAAAAGCAAAGGGGATAGGGAAGCGGGCTACTATACCATTTGGAGGCTAGTACCTTCTCGAGAGATTGAAAAGAAGCCCGAGTTGTGAAAATCAGCGCCCGATTTTCCAAATCAGACGTCATAAGAGGGAAGTGCGCTGCTCAAATTCGACCGGGCTGGACCAGTAGTTGTGTGTAATGGTGTTCTCGTACAAGGTGGAAGGTTTGGTTCAGGAGCCCGAAGAAGGAAGAAAGGAAGAAAATTTGTTGCCGTGGATGGTCCCAAATATTCATCCTGCACAAGCTTTCTCCGTGCAAGCGGAGCTCAGAGAGGTGCTAACGTGTACTTCCACTGTTTATTAAACCATGAAGTCGCTTTAGCGGATTTTCTGTCATCGCCCGTTCCCCTTTTCTGAGCTTTCAGGTTACTTCTGCCTTCAGGTGTTCTTCACATGAAGAACAATGAATAAATCTTCCATCATTCGAGCTGTACAACATCTGAGTATCGCTGCTCTCCCACCTTCATAAAGGGCCTGCGCTTGCGACCCCTCTCCTCCCTCCCTCGCGGTCAAGCACGACCATCTCATTGTGGTTATCATAGCGATGATGTGCCTTCGCAAGTAGGCAGAGCATGACCTCCAATAACTTCTTGGTATGTCTCATGCGAATGCTGATCGCTATCTCGCAAAGATTTTCTACGCATAATGCCAGTCATAGAGTGTATTTTAAGGTATGCAGCATGTTTTTATTAGTGTTGCTTTCTTGATTACAGTTCATGCAAGTCGAAGTCGTCTCTCGAGTAAAAAGGTTTTATTGTGCAAAGGAAATGAGTACCCAGTCACAATTTCGAAGAACAGGCATTGCACAATGGGATAACACTTTCTATTTACTATGTTAGTAATGAGGCCGCACGATATTTTCATTACCACAATGAGCATTTTTCTCCCTTATTCATTTCCGCTTTTGGAGAGCAGAAGAATGCTTCAGCGAATGGTGGGAAATGCGAAAGCACTGTGTTCACCCTGAAATGCATCCTTGTGATCTAAGGAAATTCATGAAGAAGTAGTGAAATTTATTCTCAGACCAACTGTCCGTTAAGTGTCTGCTTTGAAAGATTTTCAAAGACAGACATATTTCGCCCTGCGCGTGGGAGCCATGTGAGCGCTAACATAAGTGACTCGTCATTGGGAAAAGGTGCCGGAAGCAGGATCAAGCATCCTCTGAGGAATCATCAACGTAGGGTCGTATTTGGTCCCTCGTGAGGGAGGGCTCGTTTTTGGAAGAATCAGTAGTCAGCAGAAGGGTGACAAGGCCTGCGCGGGGTAAGGATTAAGAGCGGAACTGTCGCGATGGCTCAGAAAATATCCCATCGCAAAAGCGTCTTCACGTGCTCCTAACCATGGAGTGTGTTCTCCGGAGCTCAGAGAGCCTAACTTCCATAGACAAACATGACTTTGAGTGCTACTAGGATTGTGAATATAGGTCGTGTGCGTGGCGCATCCCATGGTTGAAACTATCAATCCCACTACCCATCATCAGATGACTTAAAAGCAGGTAGACATGTTCTGTAAGCATACAGTGGGTTTTGGAAGGTACTGCGGAAATTGAGATGGTGATACTCTCACAGAAATTGAGATGGTGATACTCTCACAACCCAAGAAACTCTACTCTTTCAGTTCGCAGAAGCAGTTCCTGCGATTTAACTAACAAGGGAAGGATGGCGGGTCGAAGTGGCCAATTGAAATGAGATGTATGTATACCGACCGAAAAGTCCTTAGACGGGGATTACGAAACCGCCTTCCATATCTCCCAGAGCAAAGTGACGGGGTCTTTTTAGGGGGTTATGGCATACAGTAGGAATAAACGGCGTAAACCTTCCTCGCTAGAAGCATTAATGGCTGAGTGGAGACGTCGTAAGTCCTAGGAACACATGGTTGGGGATTTGAATCCTTGATCGCTTGTTCTTCTTGCCTTTTTTTCGACAGTGGCCTCTGGCACCTGGTGAGGTTTTTGTGGCGTAAACTCCTCGTTTTGATAGTGTCGTGACGTAATGCTTCTGAAACTAATGGAGCCATTGTGAAACGATTGCTTGGAGAACATTCTTGGCTGTTAACTTTGTCACTTGAGCCGAAGACTTCCAGGATGTGCGAAAGCACCACTCTGGGATGAAACATCTTTCAACGCCATGTGAGTGATGAGTGAAAGTTATAAAGGGGCTGTTTGAATCGAAGCCAAAAATCGCCACAATGAGCTTCCAACATGGGTCACGAGCTATAAAATGGGTGGAACAGCTGGTTTCATCAACGATAAAAGCGCTAACAAGTCGAGCATCGGATGGCCTAGCGGATAGGGTGGAGGTTTCGCAATCGGACAGTGAGGGTGGGGTTGATGGTTCGGCTCCCCTTGCGTCGTGGCTTTTTGCATTTCGCTGATTTGTACTTACGTTTCGCATGATCTTTAGCTTTACGCTGATACTTCAGATTTCGCTGTTCTCGCTTCCATTGTGTCTGCGCATGAATATAACTCGGATATTTGCCATTTATGGGCACATTCTGAGTAGCTGTACCTCATGAGTCAGTGCTATTCAACTATTTCGATTTTCACGCACCACCAGTCGGATCGCCCAGCTTACGCCGAGCTCTCCTCCTTCTCTTTAGCCCAGCTTCGCCGGGCTGGCCTCAGTTTATGATGGAAAAGGAATTTGTTCATTCACTGAGCTGCTCATTTTGAGCTGTATTTAACGAATCGTAACAGATAGAGCAACCCAGCGCGATTCTGCACTCCTGAGTCCAGTGTTATTGTTGTAGAAGATGTGGTGTTATGGACAAATCTCGCTTCCTATCTGCATCGGAACGCCTACCGATCAGCGCTTTCCTTTTCTATTATGCAATCCATTCGATTACGTCGCATAAAGATTGCAGATGCTAATATTCCGGCTACGTACGTTAGTTGTAACATAAATTCCTTCTCCAGTATTATTGTTTTCATCAGTAATTAAAAGTTCCAAAGTAAAAGGGTGATATCACATTCAAAACACTACCTCAAATTGATACCACGACATAAATTGGTTCGCGACTCTGCTAGCAGTGATTCCTTCCTTTCTTCAACCCACCAAAATCGCTTTCACCAAAGTAGCCGTATGCTCTTGTTAAAGCGCATGTACGCTTCCCAGTCGTACCCGCGGCTTATTTAATAAAGGGTGATATCACATTTAAAACATTACTTCCAGTTGATACCACGGCATGAATTCGTTCATAACTCTGCCAGTGGTTGATCCTTCCTGCTTCTGCTTCCACCGTTGCGGTGTCTTCCCAATCGTACCCCCACCAACCCTAACCCCTCCCCGAAGGCCTCAATCCCTTCCCTAGCCTGATTCTCTGCACTCAACGTCCTAAGCTGGGTCGCCACGCGAGCAGTACGTCCAATGGCTCAGAACACACCAAATGGTTGTCTTATACAGTACAGGGTGTTCCCACATCCGAAATATCACTTCAAATTGATAGCACATTATAGATTGCCTCACAACTTTGCTAGCGGTTGATCCTTCCTTTTTTCTATTTGTCCCCTTCAGAAATGCTTCTGTTTCCACCGTTTTGGTGTGCTAATGTTCAAGCGCACTGTAAGCGTCCCCCCCGCCCCTACGGTCCTAATTAACCTCACTTCCCTCACGTCCCCCCGCTTCCTCATCCCCCCCTCGCCCTACCTTCTTCCCCATGGCCCTCCAACCCCTGCGCTTCCTACCCTGCCGCAACTGCAGGTGCTCACGTCCAGCTGCCACGCGAGCAGCCCGTACAATGGCTCGGAGTGCACTAAGTGGTTGTTATATAGTGGAGTTATCGCAATCAAAACATTGGATTGATACATCTGCACCGAAAGGTTTCTGGATTGGCTAGCGGTCGTTTTCTCCTTTCAGTTACATGCTGAATTCCGTGAACCATTTTGCGGACGGACATATATAAAACACCTACTACATGGCAGGCCGACAAATCCGACACACAAAACTTCTGCTTTATTAAAATGGAGATGATTGAACAAGATTGTTGCTGGACGTTGATCCTCATAGGCTATACAGTGGATCTGATTGCGAATTTAGTAACTTCTGGTGTGGTGTCAATTATAGACAATTTGGGGCCACATCTTCTTTCCAGTGAATTCGTTATGTACACCCATGTAGGGAACGTTCAGCGCTATTCTGTCGCCAAATTGCGTGGACGCCAAGAATAGGTGTTATATTTGTGATCAGGGCCACTGATTACCACTAAAAACGAATTTTCGGTCAAAACAATTGTTTTGACCTTCTTGGGTTTGCTTATTGGGTTGTCCGGGGTCCGTAGCGTCAACGATACGTCATCGCTGTTACGAAGATGTGAGACTCCGCTCACACTGCCGACCAAATGGTCGGTCACCTACAACCCGAAAAAGTCAAAAAAATTTTTTCGCTCAAAACTTGCTCCTAGGTAATCGACGGTCTCACGATTCTAGCCCTTTTATTTTCTGTTCCAGCGCCATCGCACTGCATAGCGCGCGAAGAGCTAATCTGTGCATACTAACGAATTCCGAAAAAGCAGTTTTGCTCCATAAAAGTAGGATGTTCAGTTTATCGTGACTGTTCAGTTTATCGTGACTGTTTCTGTTAGGACCAATTCATAGACAGACATGGATCCAAAAAATGGAAAATTGTAAAATTGTCCTCGGTGGGATCCGAACCATCGACCTATTTTTTACGTTTTTTTATTCGTAGAAGCGCGCAGCGAAAATGAACCTCAGTTTTCTGGTCCTCGTATGTGCCCCTACAATATGCACAAGACCATTTTGAAAAAGCTCACCACGCCCTGAACGACCTCCCTTGTAAGAGTCTAGCGGACAACTTGAACTCGATCCCTTTGAAACCTCGCCGATCTATCTCTTTCTCCTGCACTTCGCCTCGTCCGCCGACGGCACCCTATGGCCGTTTTGTGACTTCGCTCACTCAGTTTTTTACCGACTACAAGTAGCTCACCCACCCCGGAGTCCCCTCCCCTTGAAAAATCCCGTTTCCTGGCTCGCCATACGTTTTTTGTACGTTTCGATGCTTTGGCAGCCGCTGCCCTCTATCCACAAGATTATAAGTTCAGGTTGTCAGGCGGCGTACCGTACCCCCGCAATTTGCGCGTCCAGTGAAAAACATTGATGTCGGGTGCACGATCACACTACATTACACGCCAGACTCATTACTTCTGTGCAAAACTTGTTGTTTAAGGACAATGTTTTTAGAAGTTAATGAGTTTAAGCATGTTATTATACTGTCACTATAGTTATTATTATTATTAACTATTGCTGCACCGATTTTTCGAGAAATAAACCAGTTTTTGACCGGCTATTTCTATGGGGGCAGATTTGGCTGAAAACTCGGTTCTAGGGAAGTTTAACCTTCTGAATACGGGAATCACATTAATTTGCGTTGAGTTGCCGCGCCAGGGTGCTGGCGTCAGGATACCTAGAATCACCAAACCCACCGAAAACTTGTGCCCTTGGGTAGTTTGGCCTTTTAACAGGAGTATCACATCCGCTCGACCTGGAACTGCCTGACGCCCTAGCAATGATGCCCAGGATCGCCGAATCCGCTGAAAGCCTCGGGGTTGTTGGACCTCCTAAACACGAATTTCACATCGCTCAACCTAGAATTGCCTGGATACCCACGATCATCAAACCCGCCGAAACTTGTGCTCAGGGATAGACTGGCTTCCTAAACACGAGTGTCACATCCGCTCGACACGAAAGAGCGCTGAATACAATGTGCCGGGAAAAGATTTTGTATACTCAAACTTGTTTGAAGAATCGAATGGAACTCCCCGACGTCGGGCGCATCCGAACACTACTCCGACAAGACTTTCGCGACGGTCCGCACTACGAAGCAGGATGTTATGAGAGAAAAAAATGGCACTTGCTCTGCAAATTCGATGTTAAAAGAAGTAAAAGGTGTATGAATAATGAAAACCTTGTAAAAATCAAAGCTAATAAGTATATGAGGCATTAATTACGCTTTACTGCCCTAACCATCCACAACTGAGCCAGTTTGTGATAGACGGAACTCGTCTCCTAGGGTATTTTGATCTCCTGAATGCGAATATGACATTCGCATACCCCGAAACCTAACGCCCGCGCCACAGGCGCCGGTGATATTTGGTATTTTGGCGCCAGCGCCTGTAGAGTGGGAGCCAGGAGGTTTCAGGGTGAGCGTATATGATATTCGTGTTCAAGAGATCAGAGTACCCCTGAGAACGAGTTTTTAGCGATTGGTGATTCAAGGTGTTTTGGCGTCGGCGATTGCGGCACAGGCGCCAGGAAGTTTCGTGTTTAGCGCATGTAATATTCATGTTCAGGCAGTCAAACTACCCCAGGAGACAAATTTTCAGCCAATTCTGCCAACGCAGAAAAAATCGGTCACAAACTGGCCTGTTTTCGGAAGATTGGGGCAGGGCAGTAAAGGGTGAATAGTGCCATATGTGATGCATTTCATAGTTAGTCAAACAATTTCTTAGTGAAGCTTGGCCCATAAGGTTTGATGACTTTTGATGATGACAGAAGCGTGGCATTCATTTGCGCAATCGGCACCATTTAGCGCTCTTTTAACGCCAGTGCCATTTATCGCTCTGATAAGGCTGTGCATGGGAGAGGAAGCAATCCCCTTTGGGGGAGGCAGCCCCAGGAGAAGACAAACGTAGTGTTCTCCATTCGCACAAACGTCAAGAATGGGGGTCACATCCGTAACCAGGATGCCTAAATCCCGTATACAAGTTTTCAGCTGATTCGGTGTTCTTGGTATTTTTGCGCAGGCACGAGGCAGCTCTAGGTTGAGCGGATGTGATATTCGTGTTTAGGAGCTCGAAAAACCCCGGCGCACAAACTTTCGGCGGATTCGGCGATCCTGGGCATCATTGCTAGGGCGCCAGGCAGTTCTCGGTCGAGCGGATGTGATACTCCTGTTAGGAGGCCAAACTACCCAAGGGCACAAGTTTTCGGCGGGTTTGGTGATTCTAGGTATCCTGACGCCAGCACCCTGGCGCGGGCGCTTGGCAACTCAACGCAAATTAATGTGATTCCCGTATTCAGAAGGTTAAACTTCCCTAGAACCGAGTTTTCAGCCAAATCTGCCCCCATAGAAATAGCCGGTCAAAAACTGGTTTATTTCTCGAAAAATCGGTGCAGCAATAGTTAATAATAATAATAACTATAGTGACAGTATAATAACATGCCTAAACTCATTAACTTCCAAAAACATTGTCCTTAAACAACAAGTTTTGCACAGAAGTAATGAGTCTGGCGTGTAATGTAGTGTGATCGTGCACCCGACATCAATGTTTTTCACTGGACGCGCAAATTTCGGGGGTACGGTACGCCGCCTGACAACCTGAACTTATAATCTTGTCCCTCTACCCGTCTGCGTCACAGGTTTCGTAACACTACCAGTGCCCAAAATTTCAAGATGTCACGTAAGCGCTCTGGGAGGTCCGCAGCAGATATGGAAGAGGGTTTCGTAATCCTCGCCCAAGGACCTTTTAGTCGCTATACATCTCATTTCAATTGGCCACTTCGACCCACCATCTTCCCTTGTGAGCGGTAGCAGGCTTTCAAGGCATATCAAGGGGAGTTAACAATTGCATTATTCTTTGAACTTCTTCCAGATAGTATTGTGAACGAAGTTATGGCCCGCTTTGCAACTTGGCGCAAGAAACAGTCTTCCCGTCCGAAAGAAAACCCCAACAACGGTTTTTCTCCTGAGTAATGGACTTTTCCGTAGCGAACTCTGTCGCCTTATAAAAAGTCGGCACGAAGCTAGCCTGATTTTGGAAGATTAGGGTAGCATCAGTTGAAAAGCGCCATTTAACCTTACGGTATGCTCCGTGTGTGCGTTCACGGCCAGGCACATTCAATTTCACGCGCAATGTTTGGGTACCGTATGCATCTGTCTCTCTGAACTTACAAACTTGTACCTGGAAAAGTGGCACCTGGAAAAATTTTCCAGGTGCCACTTTCCATGTGCACAAGTATGTAAGGTAAGTATGAAAATAGCAAAAAAAAATGTGTCGGGACTATTCATCCTTTTTCACCTTACCTAAAGACAAAAGAAAATTGCCAGGAAATTGCAGCATTAAGCAAATCGTGCAGGAATTCGCGAACAACTTCGAACATGTAGCATACCTGTACATCCCCGGCGCATGTACACTATTCAGCGACGAGTACAAAGTCAAATCAGATATGCTTGGTGTGCATGAATTCTAAAATATTTTTGCATGATATAAAGTCATTTTCCAGTTCAAAGAAATTTATACTGGTGATGCTGATAGAATGCATTTGTTGTTGTCCGCTTACTCTACCCTTCAGCCCCTTCGCGGCTGAGAAAGCTGTAGTGGACGAAAACGCTCGTGTGGGCCTGCGATACACGATCATTTACTCTTTTTCTTTTCCTCGCATCGAAATACATCCAATTAAAACGTAATGAGTAGCTCTAATTTCTTGGCTCATTGGCATAGAGTGGCGCTTCTGTTCTTTACTTTGATTTTTTCATTGTGGAGTCTCCTGCTGGTCGGGAGCTAGCTCATACGATATTTCCTGGGAGACGTGCAACAGAATCGTCCGGGGCAGCGCCCGCGGCACGCGGTGCGTCGCGCGGCGAATGACTCACAGCTCATTTCACGCTGCATTTGCTAGCCAACAACTTTGCGACTGGAGCAAATGATTTACTACAGCGTACATCCGCAACATTTAGCAGGTTTCATCAATGATTGAAAATCTAAAGAAGTTTTTCTTAATAGTAACACACAATTGTTTGGCGGTTCCATAGACGCAATTTCAGGAAATAAACAGATACAAAAGAAATCAGATAAGGCCGTGATTCTCCCTATGTTTATGTGGTTCACATGATTTGCGCAGTCGCCAGCGTCAATATAATAGACGGATGGCCAAGTTTTTCTGTGAGCTGCTGTAAAAGATGACAAACCAGAGCAATTTAAAGACCCCAATGAATTTCGTGCTCTATTGAACTTTTTACTCTAACTGAAAACTTACCGCAACTGCGAAGCACACGAATCTGCGATCCTGGATGATATCAATGTTTACCTTCCATTCAGTAACCCCATTCAAACCGCCAGAAGCACGCTTCGTCTTCTTGCCGCAACTATGTCGCAGGCCACGCTCACCAGCTGCCCGGACGATTCTGTTGCTACACACACGCCATTCTTCCTTGCTCAATAGATATCAGTTTCATGCACTGCTTCTAACATTAAGAAATGAATGAGGCACCTTCTATGACTACGTCCGTGGTGATCTAAGGGTCTGGTAACTGGTGTTATTATATTTGCCTGTTCCGTGTGACTTAGGCTGCGTTATACTTTGCGGCAGCGTAGCGCTTCCAGCGTAACGCACACGCGCAGTGACGGGCTGAGAGGATGGATTAATTCGATCTAACCAACGCTAGATCGATCATCCCCATCCTCTCCGCCCGGCACTGCGACTGGCGTACACTGGAGAGCTACGCTACCGCTGCTGCCAAAGTATAAACGCAGCCTTACTGGTAGGCACGTGTCTCAAGTTTCAACCCAGTATGTTAGGCCATAGAAGGCTAGGCTAACCATTTTATTCCCAGTCGCGACTGTCATCAAACTAGTTTACCTAACAGTGGATCGTGTTTTGTTGTTGTTTCTGTTGTTCGTTTCAAGGACTTGCTAGCTTACACGAAGCGCGCGAAGCGATTAATGCTTGGTTTCATACCTACAGTTCCTTTCACAGTGAACTGCATTGTTTCATGAAACTTGCATACAGGACACAACATACTTAATTTTCATCAGGAAAAGAGGCTGTATGTTATTATCTTCTGGCATGCGTGTCCTGTTTGGCTTGATATACCCCAAAGTCTGTTAGATAGGTTTCCAACTTTGATAAATCCGCCGCGCACATCCGCGACGCGCGATCGCACGAGCCCTAACTGGGAGACTTAGTTGAAGCCAGTAATTATTTTCAGAAAATTTGAATTGACGACACCTTCAGAAAATGCGACGAGGAAAAATAAAGAATAAAGGTTGATGATGAAGGAAATGATCAGGGATAGTTACCAGTAGCTCAAAATAAACAACAAGAAGACAATTCTTCATTCCATCATAAGCTCTCTCACAGCTTAGAAGGAGGCGTCAAAGTAGTGCCAGGAAAAGAATTTTAGTCGATATCGACAGAGGGATTCAGACTTAGTGGCAGATTCCTGTTTTGCTATTCTTCCTGCCCAAAATTCGAGAATTGTTGAATTTACTGAATTTCGGCTTGCCAGCAGTTGCATCTATGTTCGGACTAATTAGAGTTCATTTTTTATCCCCTCATTCAAAAATACGAAATTAAATACTTTTTGAACTCCTTGTGTGATTTCTACACAAAGAATCTTCACTCGCTGTTATCCATCCTCTTATCAAAACGTCAATCATCCAGACTTGAGCATTTTTTTGAGATCTCACCTAGAGATCATCTAGAGATGTCCTTTTCAAATCAGCATTTCTCAAAATAATAATTGGTTTTAACCCACAATGTCCTATTCAGTGTTGCGAGCGCGGCGGTCGCGATGTCGCGCGGACTCAACATATGAAGCGATGACTTATCTACCGGACTTCAGGTTTTTTTATTAACGATTTCTACCAGTATTCGAAAAGCTGAAACTCGAAAAAAAATGCAAAGCCACTCGCACAATGCACAAGTCATGTAATTTATCTAATTGAGTAAGTTGAAAAGTCGCCGAAAACATTTAGGAGTCGGTAGTTTCTTCATTCTTACCAGAGAAAATGCCAAAAAGAGCAGCTGGTCGTTTGTAAAGCCCTCCAGAGAGGCGACATCAGGCTCGGCATTCTTTGCCAACTGCTGCTTGTATGCCTGTTAGAAAAACTTCATTTATCACAGTGTCACGTGGAGCTTCACTCAAATGTTGTGGAAAAGTTGACCGTTAAAAAATCACTTTAAGATTCGTGTTCTACAAATAGCGTATCGTGATGGCAGGAGACCATGATCATGCACAGCTGTACCGAGATTACGCCTTCTCGCCAGTTTCTCTCGTGCTCTTTAGTATGCTGGAGCAGCGTTCAGACATCGCGACGGCACTGTTTCGCTCGCGGACTGCACTATGCTAAACTACTGGTCGACTACGCTGAAAATCAGTGGACTGCAGCTAAATAGTCTGCTTTTGGCTTCGAGGATGATACGATTTCGTACTGGCTACGAAATTTGCGAGCCGCTTCGTGAAGAGAATGCAGTGAAGTAGACTGAACGTGCCTGGAGCTCGATGTTTCGAGTCAGTCATTATATCCTTGTAAACCTAATATTTGGAGTTGCCACATTCAAGCAAACCTTCTCGAAACAGTCGTAAAGGCCTTTCTTCACATAAGAAGATGCTCTTAGCAGTTCTGCTCTACAAAAACTTTCAGTCCAGTGATGTAGGATATGTTTCCTGAGGTTCGACTCAGTTCTCAAGGCAGCTTTCAAACTCAGCAGCGAAATCTAGCAACGGTCCAACCAATTTTAGCATTGGAACGTGGCGAATCAACTGTCGTCCGACGCGATCGCTCGTACGAGCGATCCCGTCGTACGCTCGACAGAAACGCTGCCGTGGCGAACACTGGACGTGCCTGGAGCTTACATTGCCAATGCTCCTGCTACTTGCATCGCTTCTTCACCAGATGCTTTTGCAGTGAGAAACATATTCTTGTGAAACAATCAGGTTGTAGAGGAAGTAAGAGGATTCCGCTCTTTCACTTCCAAGAAGCGTAACGAGCGAGTAGGCCAGCGGTTTTTCAGCCTCCCTCCACCAGCGGGCCATTTAGGGCCGACTCCCACTGTGGGTTTCACACAAACGAATGCTGCACCCTGTATAAGGAAGCTTGCAAGAGAATCGTAAATCGCGGCTTCGTCGCACGCGGCAATGGGCGCGGCGTCTCCTTAAGTTGCATTATCCTTTCAGTTGGAGCATCGGATTTCATGTAGACAAGGACATCGTGCACACTTATGTTTATTTTCGGCCATATATCGTCTATGCTCGACCAATACCACCTAAAATCATCGTCATTAGACGTCGCACTCGACGGCCACGGGGCGACGATTTCTGATTTTTTTTTGTCACATGCCACTTTTTATGTGCCTCATGGTGCATTGCATGAGCCTCGCACTATTGCAAATTTTGACAGTTCATAAACAGGTCGCGAGAGGCAGCTAATAGTTTTGATTTCCAAAATTATCAAGCATATTAGGCTCTATCTATCCACCTAGGTCTCTATTCGAATTCCCATTAACTTGGCGAACCTTCTGGATAAGTACGCCATCGAGATGAAGAAATAGAGAGAGAGAGAGAAAAAAAATGTAAAGGGCGCAAATGAAGATAGAGGAGGATGCTTTATAAACGAGAGGTGAAAGGAGAAATAGATCCAACATATGTGTGCAGCGTTCTGCCGGCAGTCAGTCGTCGAAATGGCTGGTCGGGGACAAGTATCAAGTTGTATACTAGAAGCCGGTTGCACCTTCATACGCACGGAGCGCGGCTGCTTCTCTCTTCAACCGGCAGATGCATGACTATCATTTTACAGTAGTCACTAGGTAGTTACTGTCATCCTCCTTGCTCTACAGCCGGTCAGAAACAGCACCAGCACGTCTGGCACGACAGTAGTGGCGATCGCCGTCAGCGTCAGAGCGCGCCCCGAGGCTGTTACTTGGACCGCTCCGAGGGCTATTGGGAGGGGGGGGGAATGGCTTAATTTCTTGCTTTTTTTTTTCTTTTAATTGCAATTGACTCAGGCACTAGAGTTCGTTTTGACCTAAGGAGAGGGACATGGAACTTGATGGCTTTTCTTTTCTATTTTCTTTCTTGATTCAGGATAAAAATGAGCAGAAAACAAGGAGGCTTCATTTAGGGTAAATTTCTTATTGTTACTTTTTTCAGTCTTCAAGCTTCTATGTAACTGAACTTATGAAATTCCCTCCTCCTCGATATTGTAAAAAGAGTTAGTGTTTGATTCCTGGGTGAGTTCTTTTCTGTTTTCTTTTTTTTCGTTGTTTGAACTCGACTTGTAAACTATAAATGTTTTGGATGTCGAGCAGTTTGGCCAGCAGGAAAGTTTCATGATACTTATATAAATTGAAGCAATGAAAACAAAAGGAACAAAGAGAAGCTCAGCTATTAAATGAAGTTGCACTTATCCCGGCCTAAATAAAAGGTGAAACATCTCCTCCCTTATATTCCAGATCGTCTTAGGTAGAGTAAGTCCTCAGTTTTCAGCTAGTAACCTACTAAGAGAAAAAAGGTATTACAAGTTGGAATTCCTTACTTATCAAAGCGAACGGGTCCAAATAAGGGTTGGGGGCGCGCTCTGACGCGTACCAACGATCGCGGCAATCGCCACTGCAGTCGCGAAGTATGAACGCTGCCTCATTCATCGCTTTCTCACGTCAAGACTCGTCAAATGTGTTCAAGTAAGCCGTATAAAATTTGCGACTTCCATACTATAGACGCAATGCTTATCGCTAGATCCAAAGATCTGGTGAATATTGTTCGAACAAACACATGAATACAATCATTATAAAGCGCCTAATCTTGAGGAAGGTAAAATAAGTTGGTAAATTGACTAATGGACGGCAGCGGAAAATTGAGCAGAACTATTAACGCTTTACCCTATAAGTGATTTTCAGTCCCTCGTAGTCAGCAATATTTTCTGTGATGGAGGCTGTTCCGTTCAGAGGCAAATTGAATTTCGGGATCTGAAAGCTGTGATGTCATTAGCGTTAGTTACACAGACTGGCCCATGAATCATGACGTTTTTCTCTAAGATGAAAGATCGTGTGGAAAATGATGTGATTTCTCAAAGTATTCTATACTGTTTAAACTGTTTCCCCCACAAATCCTATCCGCAGCCTCATCGTGGCGTGGGGGTGAACGGTTTTGGACTGTTCCAAAAACGTACCAATGCGGAGGGTGCCACGTCAGAGCCTGGCGAGCTACGCGTGGTTAATTTTCTTCTCGCCGAAAACAGTAACAACTATGGGCCTCATTCCCCTGAAGCTGAGGGAACCACCGACAGGGCGACGTCGGCTGGGACCGCTCGGACGAGGCTGCTAAAATCACAGGGCCAACGGAGATTTAAGTCGCCCAGGACTAGGATGACGATCTGTACTTTCAACGCACGGACGCTTGCATCGGAAGCTCACATCGAAGATCTGATGTTGCAAGCCAGGAAGATCAAGTACGACGTCATCGGACTGACCGAGACGAGGAGGCATCGCCCGCTACACGCCGTGTACGAGACTGGAGAAGAACTGTTCCTCGGAACATGCGACAGCAGAGGCGTTGGCGGTGTGGGCGTCCTCGTCAACACGCACTTGGCCATGAACATCGATTCGTACGAAAGTCTGACGACCCGAATCGGACGTTTGCGATTGAGAAGATGTGGTTCAACTCCAGCTTTGACAATCTTCGTCGCCTACGCACCAACATCAAGCTACGACGAGGATGAGCTCGAAGCGTTCTATATGGAATTGGAGAAGTTCTACAAGGAAGATCATACCTTCTTCAAGGTCATCGTCGGTGATTTCAAACGCTAAGATCGGACCAAGAAGAACGGCTGAAGAACTTCACATCGGAACTCACGGAACGGAGTGGAATGAGCAGGGTGAAAGGCTGTCTGAGTTTATCATGTCGACCCACACCATCCATGGTAACTCGCAGTTCCAGAAGCCCTACTCTCTACGCTGGACATGGGAGTCTCCTGGTGGACAATTCCATAACGAGATCGACCACATCATCTGCAATCGAAGGTTTTGCCTGATCGATGTCGCTGTTGTCCCTAAGTTCTACACGGGATCCGACCATCGCCTCCTTCGCGCAAGATTCCGCTTTTCGATGCGAGGAGAGAGAGCCGCAAAGTTCAAGAAGCGAAGCCCAAAGACCTTCATCAACTGGGATCACTTCACTTCTCTCGCTGGGCTCTGGGAGGATTCTGTCATCGACAACATCGACGAGGAATACGAACGGCTTGTTGCACATCTTCACGACTGCGCCAAGAAGTCAGAGGGTTCCAAGATTACCAAGAAGCGTCTATCTCTGGAAACTCTCGAGCTGATTCGCCAACGTGGAGCCGCACGAGCCGCAGGCAATTACCAGCTGACGTCTGAGCTTGCGAAGCTATGCAGAGAAGCGATAAAGGAAGACCTCAAGGAGAGAAGAGCAGCAGTACTGGTGGGAGAGGCTGGGAAGAGCATACGCAACGCCCGCCGCGACTTCGCCAACTGTAAGACCAAGATGACCGCCCTCCGGCGTCCGGATGGAACAATCACCGCATCCAGAAGGGCAATGGAGAAGGTCATCCACGACTTCTACTCGGATCTCTTCGACAGCCACGTCCACCTGCAACCATACCGCTTGGAGCAGGATGGATATGTCGTTCCTGCAGTTCTCCCTTCCGAAGTCCGACACGCCATCTCGTCGGTGAAGAATCGTACGGCACCCGGTCCCGACAGGATCAGACCCGAACATCTGAAGAATCTTCCGCCAGTTCTCGTCAAAACTCTGGCTCGACTCTTCACGCGCTACCTGTCGGAATGCAAGGTACCCACCTCGTGGAAAACCAGCAAGACTGTGTTGCTGTACAAGAAGGGAGACCTGTACGACATTGGCAATTATCGCCCAATCTGCCTGCTGTCTGTAGTCTACAAACTCTTCACACGAGTCATCCTGAACAGGATTGGCAGAACACTAGACGAAGGACAGCCATGCGAGCAAGCAGGGTTTCGAAGAGGATTCAGCACGATCGATCACATCCACACGGTAACGAAGCTCATCGAAGTATCGCGAGAGTACAAGATGCCGCTATGTCTCACGTTCATCGACTTGAAGAAGGCCTTCGACTCCGTTGAGACAGAAGCGGTTATCGAAGCCCTGGGCAACCAGGGTATTCCTACTCAGTACATCAGGATTCTTCGTGAGCTCTACAGCAACTTCACGACCAAGATTTCACCATTCTACAAGGAGATCATCATTGATGTGAAGAGAGGGGTCCGACAGGGCGACACCATCTCGCCCAAGCTCTTCAGCGCCTCTCTCGAGAACGTCATGCGTCAACTGGAATGGGAAGACATGGGAGTGAAGATCGACGGTCGGCAACACCATCTCCGCTTTGCTGACGACATCGTTTTGATAACGCCAAACATCGAGCAAGCGGAACGAATGCTGGCTGAATTCGACTGCGCGTGTGGAAGAATCGGTCTACGGCTGAACCTAACGAAGACGATGTTCATGAGAAACGGATTGGTATCTGATGCCCCATTCACGCTCAACGGAACGACCATCTCTGAATGCTCTAGCTATGTGTACCTAGGTCGTGAAATCAATATGATGAATGACCTAGCTCCAGAGCTGAGCAGGAGGAAGCGAGGAGCGGCCTTCAAGAACATCGAGGGAGTAGCGAAGAAGACGAAGAACACCAAGCTCCGTGCCCACCTCTTCGATTCCGCGGTCCTTCCTGCCTTGACGTACGCCTCAGAGACTTGGACTCTACGAAAGCAGGATGAGCATGCGGTCGGCGTTATTCAACGCGCCATCGAAAGGGCGATGCTCGGAGTTTCCCGCTACACGCAAGTGAGAGAGGGAATCCGGAGCTCCGCACTCCGCCAACGATCGAAGATCAGAGACGCCGCCGCATTTGCCAAGGCTTCGAAGA